CTAGAAAATTGAAAATAAAATATTCTAGAACGCATTTTAACACAGTGTTTGGACTGTTGATTTGACTCTCATTCTAGGGAATTTGTAGTCGCAAGACTAGATATAATGTAACAGTTTGAAGCGAATTGTGGCATTGTTGGATTTTTATCTATTGGTTTTATTTCAGAATTGTTCTATTATCTATACGCTTATCTTACTTATGAGATTCTGGAAACTGTTTTTGTCTTAAATGAGTCTTTATAAATTTAAATCACTTAATCTTATTTGTAGTGTCTACTATGAAAGAATTACGATAGTTTTGTTCTGCGTCGAATTGTGAACAAGTTGTATTAAGCAGCAGAATATTAGCTTTCAAACTCTATGCTTTAAATATTGTATTTGTATTTTTACTACAGCTACAGTTATCTAGTGTTCTTAATTTAATTGAAAATAATTCACTTGGGTTCAGATAAACACCTACATTTTTTCCTTAGTAAAATTTGCCCGATCCGCCTTTACAACCCAAAATGACCTAAGGGGTTGATAAGCACTTAGGCAAGAATTACTGATAACTTCGAAACACACATGTAGCGGAGATAATTATCCATGCCGATTTAAGATAGAAGAATTAATATGGTGTGACCTTATTTTTGAAAAAAATTCTTGAATAACAGTAGGGCTATGGTTTGAGCTCGTTTTCGCCATTTTACCGGATCAATAAGGAGTCGCTGGGGCATATAACGAGACTTGTATCCAGGACAATTTATTTTATACTCCTTATTAATATCCTTAACTAAAGGTTAATTTTTCATTCAGAGCTTATTATCGAGCAACAATAGGCAACACAATATTTTTTTTGTTTATAATAAGGTTTTCAAAACTACCAGTAAATTTTTTATGTATAAATTGTATTCACTCTATTTCGTTAAAGGTGATCAGGGGAGTAGTAGTTGAATTTTAACACAATGATACAAGTAAAGCTTATGCTTGATTGAATTTCACATAGCCTTACTTTCTCGAAAGGTATTGTTATCCGAAACAGACTGCAGTTTGTACCTCGCATAGGTCTTATTCATACCCTCAGCGGGACTCTAACAACAAAGGTGTAGCGTGTAATCTCAATACGTTAACCACTACACTGAGTGCGAGTGCCCCTAAGCCACAAGTCAGATGTGAAAATCAAGGAAGGCAAAGTGTTTTCTTATATTATATTCTGCGTTGGGATACTGGATAAAACAAAATTGTATTTGCTATAGCAATTGACTACGTTAATTATTTCGATAGTTCATATATATATGAAGTGTATTCACCCTTCGCATCTGCTACGTGGCTGAATGACACTCGTGGCAGTGATGCGTAATAATTAACGTGACAAGATTATACGCTGCACTGTCATGCTTCTAGTCCCGCAAGGGCTGTCAATGAGACCAAAGTGAGTAGGCATCTGAGGTTCCACCTAGATAAGAATACCTTTTGGAAAAAAAAATATTTACGTGAAGTGTAAGCTCTACTCACATCATTTATGGAAAATTCACTACTATTCCCCTTACCATCTTAAACGAATTTGGGTGAATACACATCATAGGCAACGTATTGACTAATAATTAAATTCAATTAGGTTAGAATATACTTTCAATTTATTAATAGAAATAATAAATTTTATTTAAATATTTTTATTAATGTTTAAGTGATTGTTTTTAAGCTCATTTAAAGGATTCAACCTTAATTACGCGCATTTAGTTCTTGATACTCTCTATTATGATTTTGCCGTTGTTGCTAATGTAAAAGTTATAATTTATCATAAATATATGTATTATAATCGTTATATAAAATTTATTTTGATTTTTAGGATTTCCTTTTCTGGTATTGGAAATGCCCGTACCTTAAATGCCACCTGCATGCTAATTCCAAACCCAGGGGAAAAGACTTTTGGAGTCATACACATAATTAACGATCCTGTAAGTTTTGTATATTAATTACTCTTTTTAGACGTCGTCATGCAAATTTAGTCTTAATGGTAGTGTGACTGGATTGCCTGCAGGAAACCACGGATTTCATATTCACAATTACGGCGATTTTTCACGACCTTGTCACACTACCGGAGATCATTACAATCCATTTGCTCTTGATCATGGAGCCCCAACTGATAAGACTAGGCACTTAGGTGACTTGGGGAACATTAAGGCTGATGATAAAGGGGTCGCAATTGTTCAAATATGTGACTCACAATTGTCTTTATCCGGTGAGTATTCAGTGATAGGTCGGTCAATAGTAGTAAGTTATTAGCCATTTTTGTTTAATATATTATTTAGGTTCACAAAGATGCAGACGATTTAGGGCGTGGCGCTGAATTAAGTAAAACTACTGGGAATTCGGGTAGTCCTTTGGCATGCTGTATAATCGGAACTGGGTCATTGCCTTCATCTTCTTCACAAACATCCACAATCAGCTTCTTATACTTCCTTTATTTTTTTTTAGGTATAAATCAGATCAAAATGTATCTTTGCTAGCAATGTCCAATCTTTTTCAGTTTCTGAGTCGCTTGTATTTGTGATCTAAAATGTTGACGCGCGCAACGTAGTATGCTAGCATTTGTGTTGTATTCATGCCATGTTTATGAGTAACTAAGATTTTTGAGTTCATATCAAACTCTATACTAAGCAAGCCTCCTACTCTTAATTACTAGTTCGTTTTATTCCTTCTCTATACATATATCTATATGGCAGAGACCATTCTTTTATTCATGCATTTTATTCAACTTAGTTTCTTAAGACGATTTTGATTTATTCCCTGATATTTAAATAAGCCCAAAAGGCTTTAGAGCTAGCAAAACTTAAGATTTTTAATCATTCTAGCTTAATCACTGTATCAGTCTTTTATTCAGCTTAACCCTATTTTAGATATTAAAACGTTTTCATGCTGTTTTTCCTCGTTTGGGTGCAGATTTATGTTGAGATAACCTCTTACTCATGGATCGACAGGCATTCCTTACATACTCTACCATAATAACACAATCCAAACGTGTCCAAAGTTGTTCTAAAAAGGGACATAAGCAAGTGCATATTAGGCTCTGTATATATCTATATAACTTTTTTCAAGTCTACAGGATTCCCAAATAAGAAACAGGGTAAGGATGCTTTACTCACTATCTTGCCATAAATAACCTGTGTTGCTCACCATATTTCTTAGCACCCCTTTAACCACAACTGAATACACCTCACCTCTGCAAAGAGTACTGTAAAGCATTAAATAGCTGACAAAATACCATATTAGATGGACATAATCTGTCTATATGAAGTAGGTAGGATTGCAAGCTGCCAACCTATTTGTTATAAAGTTTATGAATTTCCGCAAAGCGTAGTTTTCCGTCATCACGATGTTAGTCACATGACTGAGGAAAGCTCTGCACATATTCTAGAGGTTGCGTTATGGTTTGTCTTAAGCGTATTTAAACAAATCTGCAGTCATAACTCCAGGCTAATTCTAATTTAGCTTCAGGTAAAGTCAATTTAAAAATTCATTTAACTCGTCTCTTTAAGCGAAGTGAAAGTCACACAAACAAGAATATCATATTTACAAAAACTAGTGTGAAAATGGTAAGATGAGTGAGCTGTGTGATTTAGGGTTTTTGGTCATAATAAGTCATCAATGCTTTAAACAGGTCGCTACTTAACCATGAGGCTCATTTAGTAAATTATTTCATAGAAAAGGAAGCCTGCACCCTCTGGGTAGCTCTATCTGCAAATTTTTTGCTGCTTCGGCTTTTATAACGTATTACTGACCCCTACCTATTATACAAAGCAAAAGGATTAGGTAATACAGTCATAATTGCCTCCCATCGCTTAGCCAGACACTCTTTTTAGACCATTACTTCATTTGCATCAAACAGGTAACCGGTGCTCAACTTTGATAACCGTAAGTAAATTTTAGCATGTTTTTAGGTTTGCCTGCTCACCAAAGCAAATTAGTAAAAGTTTCATAATCGTAAGATGATTAAAATGTGTAGGATAATAATGCTACTATTCGTTTGAGAGTATCGCAAGATTATTGCTGTTGATGAAATTATAAATATATGTGTATATCCATTTGTATATATATTCATAGTTTCATCTTATGTTAATCACTTTATGTAACTGTCAGTAAACTATAATGCATGCAAATATAATGGCATTATTTGCATTAGAGGGCGTGATTACTATAATATGACACCCATATTTTGTCAAAATAGACTCGTTTTTTAACATATTCGCTTAGCTTCTCTCAGCCTGCTAATCCACGAAGAATCGCATGGAACACGATTTATCTATATTGTACCAATAACATGCTATTCACTTATACTAGATGAGAGCTTAGTTTGATATGTGACGAAGCCATCATATACACCAACATCTATGAAAATCTCCTTTATAAGGAGAGGATGGTTAATTCCATTGAATTTTTTAATCATTGTTGATACTTTCGGTTCCTCTCTATTTCCTATCATAGTCTATGGCATGCAGATACTTTTTAAAAAATATGATGGGGCATTAATTGAGACTTTCTGTTATTTAAGTCGAGTTCTCATGAAATGCACGTGCAATATGCAGCTACTTGCTCCTATTGTACTAGTATCCATAATAAGTGTTTCTAACCCTGAGTCCTAGTCTCACTATAGGTCCTGATGAAATTCAGATAAGGTAATAAACTTGGTCTGTTCTGGATGTAAAAATAATATTTTTAATGAAACCAAATCCCCTCATGGTATAATTACAATTAATAGCTAATGGGATAAAGTGTATATAGGAGATTAAATTGTAAAAATAATATCAATAATTGCCTAAAAATCAAAGAAGAATACAGTATTAAATAACTCCCGAACATATTTGCATAAATCAATTTTGTTAACAATATGTCAGATTCGCCTCAATTACTCAAGTGACCATTCATTCAATGCAATTTAATATAACAGAACAGAATCACTTATAAAAAGTGCAGTTAGAAGCTCTAGACCTTTTTAGTTATAGAGCATCTACATTCCTGAAGAGGAGACAATTGTTCTGTAGCATAAATTAGGTGTAATTTTTATATGACCTATGAATCAATTAATTGGGCACTTTCTAACTAAGTAGATTTCTTCACAACACTGTTCTATGGTAATGACGCTTTGATATTAAAACCTTAATTAATTATCGAAGAACTGAAGACAAAGATGGTGTGACAATATGAGTAAGTTACGAAAACAAGGTAAAACGACTTCTAAATTATTCTCCGTTATAGTTGACGATTCATTAATGCCCAACCGGCTTGTTTGGCTTTTACTGGCAGAAGTCCCGATTGTTCCACCCACAAAAATCATAAACGTGCTCAAAAAATGAATTCTAATCCAGACAGACTTGCATTTTTTATCTCACTAAGGCCTCATCACCGAGTCCAGTATCGGAGCCAGAGCCAATAATCTCAAGCAATAGAGTGTGCCTCTGATTTCGAATAAGTGACCTACCCTTAAGGATACAAGTCAAGCACAAGTTGGTAGGATATAGAGACAAAAGAGAAATTGAATATTTGCTCAAAACCGGCCTTAGGGATGCAGCATAATAAAAGCTTTGTTAATGTCCTGACAAAAATATCCCATCTAATTTTTTGGGCACGAAATAAATGGTTAGGGTTATTTCGAAATTAATAAACTTGAAGTTTACTGATTTTGACTAGACGATATAATAGGCAACGGAAAGCAGCCGTTTGCGATAGGATGGCAATGACATTGTAAATTGGCTCCTATAGCTCGAGTTACTGACTCAAAATAAGGCCTGAACTATACATTTAGTTGGCTATTGGATTACAGATAACGGTAGGCTTGTATTTAACCAGTTTAAGTTTGCTATTTCGACCTTGTCTTAAATACTTTTTCCAAAATCTCTCAGATTGGATGCGAGGCAAGCTGAACATGATTTGGGCAGACTTAAGAGGAAACCCTAAAGTTTTGCACTTAGTCCATACCGAAGATACCTGACAGTTTTTTAAAATGATGCATTAATTATGAGTGAAAATGTATGAAAAGATGTTGGACGGGGTTTGTGTGGGCTTAGTTAAAGGCAAAATGATGATTCTCCAAGTAATTTAAAATCTGTGACTAGGAGAAAACGATTTGGTTTGTTCACTAATAAAGGATTAAAATAATAATAGCAATGGACAAACCTTATCTCCATTTATAAAGTTCCACGCAATGCTATTACGAGATGAATGCAATTAATAAGAAATTCTGCAAGAATGACTGATTCAACAAAGCAGAATCATTTAGGCAAGAGCAATGTTTAATATTGTTAAGGGGACCTTCATTTCAGATGAAAGTGCATGAAGATGAGATTCGTTGGTCGATCTCACCAGATGAGGACGGATGATTATTGTTGTACTGCAGCCATTTGGCTTTTATACGAAATTAATGTTTACGCAGTCCACAACACTTCCTCCCTCGTTTCGGGTGAAAACGTTCTTAGCTTTCGTCGATCATATGCTGGACATTATCAGAGCTGTGTTTCATTCTTGTAAAAGTCTCACGTTGACACTAAAGCAAGTACAATATCCGGCTCTATCTTACTTTTTATATAGACTCAATCAAGCAAAAAAATTATAAACCTAGATAGATCGATGCAAAATAATTTTAGTTAATATTTTTTTTACTGGAGGACTCTTCAAACAAACAAGACATTTAAGATTACGCAACCTCAGTCTTGCCTTTCCTTGGAGGGTTAAACGTTAATGACCCTTGACTGAAATGTTACGACCAGTGCTTTTGTAACTTGGTTATCATGCTTACAAGCTAATATTTCATTATCCCAATCATACCTATTTACGGACATAGGCAGTCTCGGTCAAGATTTTCTCTTGGGTCATTAAGTCTTGAGGATCAGAACCTGAGATTTAACCTTTGACAAGTCTCATTTAGGAACCGTATGGCATATAGACGCTAACACTCACAAATACACATACACGATGTGTATGTGGTCGATGTTATGTTGGTGATACATGCTGACCTATTCGACAAAGTTTGGTAGAACACAAAAATGTTGCAAAGGTAGCTGGATCCAACGGTCAGAGATGGCCATACACATGGTAGAAACTGGACATGAAATAGACTGGTCTCAAACTAGTAGGTTTGCTGATTAGGTTAAATCTGTTTTAAAAAGAATGATAAGAGAGCTATTGTAATTAATAACTTGGGAAATACGTTGAATGTGAGGAACGGTGGTAGAAAGTTGAGTAGGAATTACTTCAGCAGTCTCGGCTAAAGATTTCGTTTTGGGTCATTCGGTCTTGAACATCAGAACCTGAGATTTAACCTTTGACAAGTCTGATTTAGGAACCCTAATGCATATAGACGCTAACACGTACAAATACACATACTCATATAATCAAGCAAAAATAACAGAACCAGTATGAAAGAAGATTAACGAAACCATTCTACATCGATCTATCTAGGTTTTAAATTTTTAATTTTTTGGCTTGATTGAGTCTATATAAGAAGTAAGATAGAGGCGTAAGTGTTCTTGTTTTAGTTTCAACCTGAAACTTTTAAAAAAATGACACCCAGCTCTGATGAGGTCTATTCTTTGATGGACGAAAGCTCAGCACGTTTTCACCCGAAACAAGGGAGGAAGTCTCGTGGACTGTGTCAAAATGAATATTGTATAAAAGCCAAACGGCTGACGTACAACGATATTCATCCGTCCTCATCTGGTGAGATCGAAGAATAAATCTCTTTCTCATGCACTTTCATCCGAAATGAAGGTCCTCCTAACAATGTTATCTCAGGAGTTTTATCGAAACCAAGATTATCTTCGTATCTACACTATTCAATACAACCAGGCCTTTTGGTACGATTTCAAGCATGCTTAAATAGTCATATTCACGTTTCCATTATGGCAACTATAAGATCATATTATATACCCGTTGAATCCAATTCTAATCCCCGTGTCCAGGTCAATTAAGCCATTTGCTCTGAAAATAGCCGTTAATTTTTTGGGTTCAGAAAAACTATCTGGTTGACTTATTAAGCAGATTTTAGTATATATATATGTTTTCTTTTCTGCTCACTTCTATTTCGAGTGAAAGTCTTTGGTGAATATATTCGAAGTTCA